TAGATTGATGGTCCTCAATACTCCATGTCATTCTTTTTTCCTTTCGAGTGTGGTTTTGTTTGTTCCGTTGTGTGCATCTTAGTTATGCAGAGGCCGGAAGTGTTCTCAGGATAATTGTATCACCTTGATGTAATTGACTGAGTTCAATAAAATCTTCCATTATCTAAAAAAAAGCTCCCGTCGTACTGCTGTAGTGCTGTACTGCTTTACATGGCTAATTGCATTGCCATCTACAGACTACGGTGACTTATATCAGCGGAGCAACAGCGCGCAAGCTGCAGCAAAGCCGAGAGGACGTAATGGCAAAAGGGCCTGAAATAAGAGAAACAAATGCCCACAAATTATCAAACTGAGAATAAATCATATGTACAAATAACAGACCGTATATCCATCAGTTAATTCTTTAGAAAATAAAGTTAAACCTATCAAGCAATTTGTAATGTCAGGTCTACCTCACATGTACTGCAACACTGCACTCTTTTGGCTCCAGTTGAAAATTATATATCCAACCAGATCTTATGCCGTTCTGATGAGCAAAAGAAATATATAATCTTTGCTGGACGAAACCACTATGATTAACGGAATCCATACAACACTAGCATATGATATTTGAACACAATAACAATACTTATGAATGTACTGTCAAGTGTGAAGGTGTGAGATCTTGATATATAAGTTTGAAGAGGCCAATATCAAATAGATATATAAACACCTGCACTGCTGCAAATGGCGATTGAATGGGGTTAGCAAAAGGAAAAGCTTAATCAAGTCAGCTACCAATAAGTACTGCGATGTGGGAAATTTGCTGCTTACGGTCAGAGATGACAATGACTGCCAAGCAGCAGCGACAGCACCGAGCAAGTGATTGTTCCAAGATATATATGAGAGGAAATGCATTGAGATTTATAGTGCGAAGCTATTCAACAGAGATCAAGGTGAGGAACTGTGTATGTTGATTTCAACCGATGGTAAGGCAAAAGACAATATCAAACTCCAAGGGCCGGTGAGTACTGATGGGACGATGGCACTTATAACAACAGAACGGATATGTACCGTGTCAATTAAAGCTCAATCGTTGTCATTTATAAGCAGGGCTCTTCAATCGCCTTAGTTGATTTGTGGATGGCATTAAGGAGGTCTGTTCAATCCTACTTCATGCATGCATGTTGCTGAAACGCCCGGCTAGCAAAATTGTGGCATCGAGTGCATGCAGTGCATGATGGAAGGAATAACTAAATGCACGCTACAAAACGTATCACACTCAAAGTAAATCTGAGCTGTCCAAGATAATCCAATGGTGAATAGTGAAATGGCTTTGAGGTAATCTGGAATGTTGAATTTCAATCTAATGGCTAAAAAGAATTAAGGTGATGTGGAAGCACCACAAGTGAGAAAAATACTAATAACTATATTTAGTGGGGATCAACTATATAGATTATATAGATAGGATAACCTTGAGACCACTTCCAACCAAGCTTTTAAATTATGTCCCGCTATAACCCTCCTAAAGGACACTTTTAGAGGCCTTTTACTCGTAACCCCTGCCATTGATTCATTCTTGTTTATCAAGAGGTTGTACAAGGCCAGGTAACGAGCAGCAAAGGGAGCATTCCCGTTCAATTGATCCTCCTAGAATCTAACCTGAGTCTCATTGTGCACTTTTAATGATCCACAAGAAAGGAAGATGTCCTTAACAATCATGAGTCCTAACCATAATGAGAATCCCCTAGTTTTTTTTCTACAAGAGTCAAAGTTTTCTTTGATAAGTATTTCCTTCTTAGTAAGTTGTGCCAAACTCCCTCTTCATTCCAATGTTTATATAACCATTTGCTTAACGGGCATTTGTTTTGTAGTTCTAGATTATGTATCCCAAGACCCCCACATTCCTTTGGCTTGCATAAAATGCTCCATTTGGTCAACCTATACTTCTTATTATATTCTTCACATTGTCAAAAGAATCATGACCTATAATAGTACAACTTCTCAAGAATACCTTTAGGTACCTCAAAAAAAGAAAGCATGAACATAGCCAGGCTACTAAGCACCAAGTTTATCAACACTAATCTACCACCTATCGACAGATGTTTTCTTTTCCAACTAATCAGTTTTTTCTGTATTCTCTCTTTGATTGCGAGCCAGTCTTTGTTTGACATTTTTTTATGATGCATTAGGATCCCTAGATATCTAAAGGGATACCTACCAGAACCGCAACCAAATAACATAACATACTCTTTATCCCCTTCCTTAGCCTTGCCAAAACAGAACAATTCACTCTTGTGAAAGTTGATCTTTTGACATGATAACCTCTCGAATGTACTTAGTACAAGTTTGAGGTTTTTGGCTTCTTCTAAATCATGTTGCATAAAGATGTTTGTATCATCTGCATATTGCAAGATAGACAACCCATTATCTACTAGATGTGGTATCACCCTATGAAAGCTCTCTCGTCCATTTGCCCTTCCTAATCAGGATTGCTAACATGCCAGCCACTAAATTAAAAAGGATTGATGATAACAGATCCCCTTGTATTAAGCCTTTTTTTTTGTTTGAAAGAGGTTTCCTACTTCATCATTCACTTTAATTGCTACACTACCCCCTCTAACAATATTATCTATCCACTGACACCATAGTGGCAAGAAGCCTTTCATTCTCAACGTCTGTTATAAAAACCTCTAGTCTACTTTGCCATAAGCTTTTCCAAAGTCGAGTTTAAAAATTACCCCATCATTCTTCTTCCTATGCATTTCATAAATTGTTTCATGTAAAATAATTGCACCTTCTGTTATGTTCCTTCCTGGTAAAAACGTTGTTTGTGAAGGTCTAATGACCTTTTGAGCTGTTAGCTGTTAGCTCCATGTAAATTTTGAAACTCACATTCAACAGTCATATATGACTTTATTGCTGAATTCGCTTAGCATCCTTTTGTTTGGGTAATAAACTGGTACGAAAAGTCAGACAATGCATCGGTAATTCTTCTTTGTAAAAATCCATCAGGATCCAGATCTTTATTGTGTTCCATTTGGAGAAGAAATGAGATTGATAAAGAATAATAATTTTTGAGCGCTTAGCATTCCTACTCCTAGCAATTTAAAAAGCCAAGGAAAAGTTATAAAAATGAAAAAAAACTAAATCAATCTTAAAAATCTAAGGAGCTGTTTGGTTGGGCCGTTTTTGGCCCGTATCAGATCCCACCGTGAATAGATTGCATTACACATGTTTGTTTCAGATGGATCGTAATCGGATAGCCCGCAAACGAATTCCGGCCCAATACAAAGCTGATTACACTCCTAGGCGGGCGGAAAACGATACCGATACGGAGCGTAACCTAACTATCCTCACGCGCCTCGTCCAGATCGAGCGCCGCCGCAGCTTCTCCTCCACATCGCGCGCGTCGCCATCGCCGCCCCCTCTCCCTGTGCGCGTCGCCGGCGCCTCCTCCTCACCCTGTGCGCATCGCCGGCGCAGCCCCCTCGCCCCGCGCGTGTCCCCGCGCCACCCCATCGTCCCGCGTGTCGCCGGCGCCGTCCCCTCACCCCCCCCCCCCCCCCCGTGCATCGCCGACGCCGCCGTCTTGCGCTCCTCCACCACCGCCGTCTTCCGATGTGGATCTTGACCGGAAGAACTCCGGGAACAAGGGCGAGGCTGTGAAGCAGGGGGCTGGTGCCATCAACCACATCGGACTTCCGTCGTTGCTGTCATCTATCAATCACCTCGCCGGTGAGAACCCTCCCCCTACTGAAACCACCTCTCTTTATAAATTGTGAATGCTGATGAGTGATGATCCTGTGATAATCTTTTCATTAACAAATCATGAAGTAGCTTATACTAGTGAATCTCATGTATTAATCCTGCCTCATACATGTTTTCTTCATAAGTTCACATGGTTATGTAGAATATATTTTCCCAGATTGCAGGAAAGTTGAATATTAGTGAATATTTTTTTTGAGTGTAGGGAAGTTTGATCAACTCATTTTTACTATCTAGATTTTGAGAATTTTGATTTCTTTTACTGCCAGGTGATATATCATTTTCCACAATGTAAGATTGGAAAAAAAGTTTTGTGTAAAACAACAGATACATGTAAATATCCCTGAATGGATGCTTGATATTGTGTTCTAGCAAATCACTTAGGTTTAGCAATAAAAAAATATGTACTGTGTTTATTTTAGTGGTAGCTTGATGTATTATGCGTGCTAGCAGGATATATTCTGGACATGGTTAATGCTTTTGTTTTATATATTTGTAGAGTGCTATGGCTCGCCTTCCCTTAAGTACCAAAACGCGGAGAAGAAATTTAGGGCTTAGAAATATGATGATTGTTGTCATACTTATGTATTATCATGTTGTTGTACTGTTTTTAATTTCATATAAGAGAAAATGTTGGAAAATAGAGAGGAGGATCAGAACTAGAGAACTTAGGAGTGAAAGACTATTCCAGCTTATTCGTGAGAGTGATATTGCTTGTATAAGCGAGCTCCGAATGGACAGGAGGACATTTCACATTCTATGTGACATGCTTAGAGACGTCGGAGGTATTGAGGATACAAGAAATATGCCGTTGGAGGAATCAGTAGCTTCATTCTTATATATACTATCTCACCATTTAAAGAATAGAACAATAGGAAAGTTTTTTTACCGAAGTGGAGAGACTGTGAGTAGGCATTTCAATTTATGCCTACTTGCTGTTCTGAGGCTTCATCAACTTCTACTTAAGAAGCCAGAACCTATACCTGAGGACACCACCGACGATAGATGGAAATATTTCAAGGTAACCCATTCTAAAAAATAAATCACATTTCCTTTAAAAAAAAATCACATCTCAGCACTATTAATTGTACCATATTTTATTGATGTGGTGTTCTGGATTGTAGAATTGCCTAGGTGCATTGGATGGTACACACATAAAAGTAACTGTCCCAACTAGGATAAAAGGAAGATATAGGTCAAGAAAAGGAGACATTGTTACAAATGTATTAGGTGTTTGTGCACCCGATATGCAGTTCATTTACTTACTACCTAGTTGGGAGGGTTCTGCACATGATGGTCGTGTCCTTCGTGATGCAATTCACAGGCCGGACGGGCTTCGTGTCCCTCAAGGCGAGTCTTTTTCCAATCAATTTATTTTGAAGTTTGACACTCCACAGCCTGAATTGTACTGATATTTCTTTTTTAAAATTTTAAAGGTTGCTATTACCTTGTGGATGCTGGTTATACAAACGCAGATGGTTTTTTAGCCCTTTACCGAGGCCAAAGATATCATTTAGGCCGTTTCACAGCACGTAACCCACCACGTAGTGCAGAGGAGTACTTTAACATGAGGCATGCAAGTGCTAGAAATATTGTAGAGAGGTTTTTTGGAAGACTAAAGGGTCGTTGGGCGATTTTGAGGTCCCCATCATATTTTCCTATCAAAACTCAGTGTCGAATTATAATGGCATGTGCTTTATTGCACAACTTAATTTTGCAAAAGATGTCTAGTGATCCATTTGAGGATGAGGACGAGGATGAGGATGAGGACGAGATACCATTGGATATACTTGAGGGAGAACTCGCCGAACCTGAGTTTATCTCAGCTATTTCGACATCTGATGATTGGACAAATTTTCGCAACACTCTTGCTCAGGGGATGTATAATAGCTATAGGGCTCATTGAGGTTTGTGTTTTAAATGGAATTTCTAATTGTTTGCAAATCAGAAATAAAAAAATGTTGGTACAATTATGGATGCTTACTGATGTTAGTTTTCTGTTGAATTTCTAATATTGCAGTTATGGAGCATCTTGGAAGCTCAAGCATTGTGCGTGGGAGAGGCAAGAACAAGAGGATTTGGACGTACTTTGAGGATGAGGAGCTGATCAAGGCATTGTTCGAGATTGCTTTGGATCCAAGCTGGAAATCAGAAGGGGGTTTCAAAAATGGATACTGCCAAGTTCTAGAGAACGTGCTTGCTAAGAAGTTGCCAAGTTCTGGCCTTACTGTTGTTCCGCACATAGAGTCGAGAGTAAGACACTTTAGGACCAAGTTTGGCGCAATTGAAGTGATGCTAACCAAAAGTGGCTTTTCTTGGGATGACAATAGAAAGATGATACAATGTGAGAAACAACAATACGATGATCATTGCAGGGTAAGTCATCAAACTAACTATGGAGTAGAAAATTTATTTATTGATTCATGAGTGCATTGAATTGAAATATGTGAAACTACTGTAAGATATTTTATGAAATTTTGTTCCAAATAAGCGGCTATGTAAAATTCCTCTGAAATGTTTGCAAAGACAACATTATGGTTTTCTAGTAGTATGCTTTCTCATACATATGTTCTCTTGTGTTTTTCATGCAATTGTAGCTGCATAGGTCTCTCTTTTGCTTGCTAAACCATGACCTTAATTTTGTGTCATTCTTTGTATTTTACAGAAAAACAATGAGGCAAAGGGTCTATATGGTGTAGCATTCCCTCACTATGATACACTAGCTGCAATTTATGGTAAAGACATTGCTACTGGAGAAGGTGCAGAGGGTCTTGGTGAGGCTGTTGCTAATATGGAGAAAAAAATTGTTCAAGATATTCAAGATGAAGAAGATGAGAAGGATGAAGAGAGAGTGTCTAGAGAAACGCCTCGGCGGAGCATCGATTCAGCTGCAGCTCGACGGAGCATCGATTCAGCTGCAGCTCGACGGAGCATCGATTCAGCCACACCTCGACGGAGCATTGATTCAACTGCTTCAAGCTCTAAGAAGAGGAAGAAAGACAACAACAAACTGAAAAATACATTGTCAAGTGACCCTTTTATGGATGTCTTTGCCAATGTTCAAGGTGATCTGAGGGATGTTACAAAGCATGTGGGAGCAATGGTGGCATCTATGCAACGTGAAGCTGAGATCCAAGAGAAGGCAATGGCTGAGGAGGACCCACTACAAAAAATTCAGAACGAAGCTATTCTTGAGTGTCAAAAGCTTGGATTGACTGGTACTGAAGTTGTCAATGCTGCAGCTGCTTTTGTAAAAGTGCCGGCTCAAATGAGTATGCTTCTCGCTCTTCCAGAGTCTCTCAGGAGGGAGTACGTACTGAAAATACTTGCTGGTAATTCACTTGATCAATCTTGTAGTGTTGCAAATGCAACAGGAAACATATCACTTTATTTTGTGATCATTAATTGTAAGCATATTGCTCTTTACCACTTAGCATTTCATATATGCATTCATATTATTTGCCTTGCACTAGTATAATGCATCAATGGACCCAGCTGTCCATCTCAATGCCATAGTAATATTATATTCACTTCTAACTGGAGTATGTGCTTGGTCTCTTGCTTACTTGCTTACACCTAACTGGGAGTTTTTGTACTCCTAAAGTTAAAAAATGCTACCTTTTTTCTGAATATCATATATGGCTTGTCTGTGCAAGAATATTCTTAATTTGGTATGATGCTGAGCACTATATATTTTCTTTCACCTAATGTTTCTTTCACTAATTTCTGAATTTTTTTTGTTATCAGATGAGGCAAAGAAAAATTGATGTACTGATGTGCTGGCTGTCAAGCATGATCTACAAGATGTTCATTATTTGTTTTTGAATTATTAGAATTCCATATAAGCATAGGCCTTGGGGATTGGAGACTACCTATGTCCTAAGGATGTTTAGTTTCAGTACTTCAGCTTTATTTGCTTGAACCATGACAATCTACATATTCTGTGATCAAAGTACTGTCCTGTTTTTCAGACAGAAGTATTGCCCCTAGCTTATTGTTTACTAATCTGCAAAATGTCTTTTTGTCTTGAGTTCTCACTGTCAAAATTTGTATCCAAACATGAGGTGACAGTGTTTGGAATATTATGAACTATCTGCCAAAACTCTGCTCGTTGCATGTATAGGAAATTAACTCTCGAGTTATCTTTCAAACATTTGCATGTCAAAATTTATTGAGCTTCTTTATGTAGCTTTTGATGTCAGCTGCTGTTGATATAGTACTGGAGTGTGTCTGGTGCGAATGTTTCATAGCTTATGTCATATGCTTAATTGCGTACTTGTATAAGCATACTTGTATAATCAGTTATTTGATCAATGGTTGTCTGGAAGCAAGCAGTTCTTTGATTAGTGTAATCGGAGCAAATGATCTTCCCAAAGGCTTCTGTTTCAAATTTCGAATTGTGTCCTATTGATCAGCCTCCCGTTCCTTGGCTGCCATCCGCAACCAAACGCAGTAATGTAAATAAATGACGTTACCGCCTGCAACCAAACTAATCATGTAATCGGATAAATTGGTATCCGTTACGGCTGGAGGCAATACCATTAGCGTTTACGTTACCACATCCGAACCAAACACCACCTAAATTGGTAAGCTCAAATAAGCAGACTCGGGTGGCGGAAGCTTGGTGGGATCATGGTCATGGATGATGGGTATGCACACATCCATAGCTAATGGCTATTTTCTCTTTTCTAAGATTATTATGTTACAGACACGCACACATATACACTACTACTAATACACATCATTTGCCTGCGTGATTGCTTCACATGACTATTTTTACGTGCCACTGCCATCAACCAGTTTTTCTGTTAAAAAATGCAGAATATTCAGAGGTTCAAGTGGTTACTGCTAAAATTTTATCCCTCTTTTAGCACATCTTGATCGTCTATTCAAAGGAACGGCTATGATCGGACAACAGCGCGGAGGACACGCGTTCTCCGCTTCACCTACTTCCTCCCCTTTAGGCCCTTTGGCCCTGCACGACTCACCTCACCCAACATCCCACGAAAACCCTCGCGGCCTCGGCCATCGCCCGTCGCGCACCTCCAAGCCCACGCACCTCGCCGCCCTCGCCTTCGCCTCCGTTCCTCGCCGCGCTCGCGGCCTCCTCCGCGCCTCGCCGCCTCCAGGACTCGTCGCGCTGCCGCCTCCAGGCCTCGCCGCGTTCGACACCGTCTCCAGGCCTCGCCGCGCTCGACACCTCCTCCAAGCCTCGCCGCTTCGCTTCTCCTACCGCTCCCAAGCGGCCCACGCGTCGCCGCCGTCCTCCAACTACTACACGTGACATCTCCTTCCTCGTAAAATCGTTGCTTCGCTCTCGCTCCCACTGCGGCATTTTGACGAACAGCTTGCGGGTGCGGCAGAATGGACAGAGGAAAGGAGGCCAGGGCCAGCCGGTCCAAGAGGGGACAAAAGGAGGATGAAATGAGGTTACGGAGGGAAGCTGCCGAAGTTCTGGATTTACAGAGGAATGGCGATCTAGACATGGCGCTTGATCGCGCTATGAGCCTCTTCAACGCCTCTCCATGTCCCATGATCTACAACCTCGTAGGGGACCTGAATATGAAGGCATTTCACTCCCGAGCGGCCAAGGGCAGCCCAGAAATGTCTCTATGAATTGCTACTGATATGTATGGTTCTGCTGCAAAAGCAGTTCCAGATTGCATTGAGACAACTACCGCCCACGGTGAGTCTCTTTCTGCATCTAAGGAGTACAGTTTGGCGGAATCCCAGTTCAACAGAGCACTATCAATTGCACGACCATTAGATCCTGCCATCCATAACATTTCATATGGAGTATCCCTACCTGAAAAAGCCTCTAAGAGCCAAAGAATCACTGCAGCAAGAGAAAGGCTCCAACGAGCAATCGATATAAACAACAATGCTTGTTGTGAAGTCGATGTGGAGCGTGTTCTCAGCATTGCAAAGAGCTCAGGAGTCGCGTATGCGGTGCATAGGGCCGCAGCTGTTGCAACCACATTCCCTAAGTCAGCTCGTGCGCAATTTCTGCCAACCTATGTGGCACTGGACCTTGCCAAGAGTATTGAACCAGATGCTGATAAGGAGGAGGTCCTACAATGTGCCCTGAAAATCATGGACAGTGCTGCAAAAATATCAGATCACTCTCTTGTGATCGCACTGTTTCGTGCAGGACTGATGGCTGTCCTCCATGATTATGCTGCAGCTGAGGATGAGTGTTGTCGAGCCCATTGAGAAGGCTGACGATCCAAGCAGTCACGACATCCCTGTAGGGTCTACCAAAGGGGATGAATATGATGATCGGATTTGCTTTGTAAAGAAACAGATCCATGGGCTTCTACAAACTCTTGTACTATTCGCAAGACGTGATTGGAGCCTTATAACAAGTGAAAAGCAACGAATGATCCTATCTGTGAGGCTTGATGTTCTTTGCGAATACTACAGCAAAATCAACCGTTCACTATCCAAGTCTCTAACAGATGCTCATCATTTCGTGAGTAGTAGCAAATCATGGATTCTGAGGAAATGCCCCCATTGAGGATGCTCTAACATTACATTCGACAGCACTGTCATGTTATGGACTCACTTGTGTAATTCCCATTTTGGTTCACTAGGGGAGAAACTACTTGAAGTTTCAGATCCAAACCTGTGTGAGGATGTGATGGGGGAGCATTGTTGTTCCTTAGACGTCATAGATGTGTGCAAGGACTCAAGTCAGCATGACTTATTTTGTTTCATGAATGTGGAAGGTGCATTTGGATCCTTTCTCCTCAGTCCATTTACTGCAAAGGAAGTAGCTGATGCTGCTGAACTGCAAAGGGAGAAACGAAAAGAAGGAAATGACATCATCAAGGCAGTCAAGAAGAAGTTGCGGAATTTACCTTCGGATAGATCAAGTAATGAGGTCTGGTACTTTTACACAATATGGTTTGAGTTCAACATTTCATCCTGATGTCCATTATAGTGCTTACAGTTATTCTTATCCTGGTTTTATTTTGCAGTTCCATGTTGCTTGTAAAATTATTCAGGAAATGTGTCATAAGCTCCTCAAAAGTTCATGCACTGATTACCGAGAATTCGTGTTGCCCCTTCTTCGATTCCACCGATGGGTTTGTTTACATCTGAAGTTTCTTTTGTTTTCCAGCTAATCAACTGTTTGCTCATGTCGTGTGCTCACATATAACCATCTTTCCAGAGGGAGCTCAAGAAATGCATAAGTCAGGGTGAAATTACTTCCCGTCCAAACATTACCAACAAAGATATTGATGATATATTTATGAATGGTTGTTGTTCGCCTGAGTGGAACGCTAGTTTGGAACTTGATTCAAAGACTGATAAGCAAAACATGCATACAACAAACTTAAAGGTTTTTTGCACGATAATTTGTAAGATGTAGTTGCATTTTGTTAATTGTTTTACATGAAGTTAAAACAATAATATATTGAAATTCCTTACAGCTTTCGTATTCTGACAACTTAATTGCTGGAGAAGATAAAAGAAGGTAAAAAGAACCATCTCTCCTTTTTTTTGTTGTCTGACTGGTTTAGTCTGTTTACATTATTATATTGAATGTATACTGGTCCTGCAATTTGTTTTCATGTTTCTTATCTGATGTTTCAACAATATGGTTGCATGTTTTGCTGTTAAATTATGATCCACTTGTGCAGGCTCTTTCACTTTCGGTTTGTTTATAATGTAACCTGACAAAGGGAATGGCTAACTTTTTTTTTTCCTATAAGGGAATTATAAACAAATTGTGTAGTGTAGAAAAGTATAGTGTACTTTCATGATGTCATAAAGACAATATCTTTCTGAGTTGGTAAGTGTAAGATCAATGAATAGCAGTTAGCTTTATATCTAATATTGCAAGTTTGGTTAAGGAAAATACCTCAGTTAATTCCAGAAAGGTTTGTCTGCAGTTTGCTATGCCCTTTATTCATTGCTTTATTACTGCAAGTTTGGTTTCTAAGGGCCCTATGCAACAAGATCTTTATTACTGCAGTCTAGTTCATTGCTTTTGTAAGGCCTGAGCAGTCCTGCACTACTTTTTGTTGTTTTCGGTAGAGTTGCTGTTTAGCTTTGTCTGCAGCCTTCTCTCAGCCATCTTGTAAGATTCTATGTCTTTTTTCGTTGATTGGTTTGGCAGAGCTACAGGGTGCAACTGTTAGTAGTGTCATGGCGATTGGCTACTAGCTTTCCGTCAAACTAAAATTGTGTGCTGAAGTTATAGTTATAAATGTATGCATCTTGATTTAATGTATCACAGCATTAGGCTAATTTCTTCACAAACAACCCTACCTTTTTATAGTTTACCCATCCTTCAACCTACTTTGTTGTTGAAGTAATCAAATATACTCTCCCAAAGTTTTAGCAATAATTCTTGAGTTTTTCATTACCATTTGCACTTGTTCCAATTATCTGAATGGTTTTGATTTATGTACAATGTATTGCACGGCTCCACTACTTACTTTCAGTGCTGAAACTTTGCATCAGAACGCAGAAATCACTCAGGTTATTGAAACAAGTGCGAAAAATAATGAAAACAATGAGAAACAGCGTAACATATTTCAGGTTCTTGGGCCTTGGGGGCGGTCACCCTACTATTTCTATGTGGTCTAATTAGAAGACAGTATTTACTAGCTGGACATTATGGATGCCAAGAAGTCCCTTAGTATTTGATGGTTGACTTGAGTTCTCTGTTGCTTATGGTGAAAACGCATTGCAACTGATGAACGGGAAAAATAGTGATTCTGAGCAATTGAATTTCAATAATGGACTGTGCATAATGCAATTACTCTTGTTAAATTAGCCTCTTTTTTTGTTAGTTATGCAATGAACTCACATGTTTATTAATTGGTGCAGTGAGGTCCTCGTTGAAAATGCTAACCCCTCAGATTTGGAATTGATTGATGTGGAGGACAATGGGGTGAAGCCTTCAGCGACACTAGAAACAAAAGGTGACCTCTTGATTTCAACGTCTTTTTCCCATCTTAAGTTACGATAATTACAGTATAATTCTGGAATAGCAGTCCAGATTAATAAATAGCACTCCCACTTTATATACTGTAACAGTGAAATTAAGAAAGAAACGCACACTTATATCTTGAGTTCTGTTCTGATATTGCATGGTTATTTGGTATTAGAACTATGCAATCTATATTCCTTTATACAGACAGTGTTATGAATATTTATTAAACTCATGAAACTGACTCTTCCATGAGCTTTGTTTTGTTGTCATGCAAAACAAATTATATCTCACTTATTGCCTAATTTTCTTTGTTTCCATTTTTTTTCAGAGATCTTGATAATTTTAATCAGTTTTCACTTCTCAAACCAAATATACTTGGGGCCTAATTGCTGACTGCCTGGCAAGATTAACCCACATAAGTTTTACTCAAATACAGAAGCTATTTGAGTTTAATTCAATATAATCAGAATGGAAGTAAATATACATGCGCTTAGATGGAATTGGTAATTGAACTTTTAGTTTATAGCCTGCAGTGAAGCATCATCACCTCCATACTCTAGAAGTTCACATTAGATATTCAAAGGTGTGATCCATGTTCTGTAACATAATGTTGTTCAATGTTTCTTAGTGTATAGGGAAGCTATTGTCCTATGTTGTAACTATTCCTGACAACCAATAAAACTCTTTTGTTTATTTGTTACTCTGATGAATTCATTTTTAATGTGATTTTTTTAGATATCTTCTCTTGAGAATTACTAAGTCTAGTCTTGTGCTAGAACAATATGCTTCCATTTCCAAATATGTTCTGTTAGTTGGTAAATGTATTGTATTTTGCTTACTAACAATATCATAATACAGTAAAAATTGGACAATTCAATGATGAAATTGCAGGCACCTCCAATTATCAGAACTCAGTACAGGACGTTCCTAAGATTTTGGTTCCAAAGATCTCTGATCCCTCTTTATACAAGGTAAAACACTATTTCTGTTTGCTATGCATATGCCTCTCATTTGCGCTAACTGTGCATATCTCCTCCTGATCTGCTGATTTCTACTATCCATACAGCCCCCTCCTGATCCGCGGATCGTAAATCAGCAAGCCACTCGGTATGGCTATAGCGCTTTACACAGGCCAGCTATTGGACAAAGTGTTGTGACTCCAGTAAATAGACTTGTGGAGGTAATTTTATTATTGCGTATTGCTGTTCTTTTTGTTAAAATGTTTAATTTTCTCCTGCTTAGCTAATTTGTTTTGAATTGGTAGATCGTTGATGCAGCAAATAAGTTTGACCCATACGAGGTGGAGCATTCGCACCAATCATACAGAAGAGAACAGGCTAAGATCCCAAAGGATCAGGAACTATGTGTCATCTGCTTCTTTGAGAGATATTCTACTATCGCAATGGCTTCAGGAAAGGTAAGTTATGTTATTTTCTGAATTATAAATATGCACATCTTATTTCAAGAAAAAAATCCTAACCTTCTTCTTATAACTCAGATAATACATCATTGCCAAACAATACATCAGAATGCGGGAACCAAATGCAACTTGTGCAATGCGAGATTTCTAAAAGACAGTGATCTAGAGTTCCACAGGAGATATTATCATCAGCAGCAGTAGGATGCTATTGTGATCTTGACTTCCACAGGAATGATGGTGAATAGGTCTAGATGACTGATCTACTTTACAGCTTGCTCTCATTTCTTGTCTTTAGTGTCAAATATGATGGTGAATATGTCTAGATGACTGATCTTTTACTGAATTGAGTACAATTCATACAATGCTTACTTAACCGCTTCTTCTTCTCTAGTCTTTGCAGTATTTTTCTCCTCTGTTGGCAAATGAACTTGATCGATCAATGGTGTCTCCATAGTAGTACAGGGCGGATCCAGGAACTTTTTTTTTGGGGGGGGGGGGGGGGGGGGGCACAGTTTCTTCAACCTCCAGCCATTAGGAACTTTTAGTTTATCATTCATGGTGAAAAAATCGAAGGGGATGCTTCGGAGGGTATCCATAGGTCTTATGGTGTAGGGGGGACTCAAGTCCCCCTGCACCCACGTTGGATCCGCCCCAGGTAGTACTGTAGTAGTGTGCATAGGGCATTATGTGTTAGGTATCCCCATGTTCTCCTAGTGATGTTTAGTTGGTTAGTAATGAGGTGGTAGTTAACTATTTATTGGTGTTGTTTGATGCATAAATAAAAGAAACTGTACTAAACAGCGCATCATGTCCTCCAAACCCTACCGGGAGAATAGCTACTTTAGTCCCTAAAGTTTCTCTGTATATGCTTAGGCTATACGCCTATACATGTAGCAATTGTCAATTGATTTGATTGTATTCATAATCATACAATTATCTTAGCTAATTAATCAAACCACAAAACTGTCGAACTGAAGCCGTGCACTTACTGTCAATCCTCATTGTGTATGCAAGTTTTGTGATCCACTCTGATCAGCCGTTGGCGCGCGATCCGACGGCTGCAGAGTAGTCAAACATCAGTGCAGGACTCCCGCCAAATTTGAAAAATTTCCCCTTTAGTTTCAGTTCAAGGCTCAGATTGTTTACCCACGTAGTACTGAACTAACTGCGTGTTCTTCTTCCACTAATTAACCTCAAAACCACCAGAAACCTCGCGAATTGATTGCTCCAGCTTATGATTGCCACCTTCCAATTGAATGCCGGAGCGGTGATCTACTTTTCTTTCGGAGCAAAAAAAAAAAAAAAGTTGCGGTTGTTGCGTTCCAATTCATTCGCTTGATCCGTACTCGGCGTTACTCCGCCGTGTCGGTCGATCGGTTGATCGAATTGCTTCCTTTTTAAGCGTACTGAAGTTTCTTGGATCGGATCGATACGTCGGCGATGGCGGCGGCGACGGTGTGGCGTTGCGCGGTGGTGGTCGGAGTGGTGATCATGGCGGCGGCGGCGGTGGTGGATGGGCTCGGGGTGAACTGGGGCACAATGGCGACGCACCGGCTGCCGCCCAAGGTGATGGCGCGGCTGCTCAAGGACAACGGGTTCAAGAAGGTGAAGATCTTCGACGCCGACGCGACGACCATGTCGGGGCTCGCCGGCACCGGCATCGAGGCGATGATCGCCGTCCCCAACGACATGCTCGCCGCCGTCGGCGACTACGGCCGCGCCAGGGAGTGGGTGAAGGAGAACGTCACGAGGTACAGCTTCGACGGCGGCGTCGACATCAGGTACGTCGCCGTCGGCAACGAGCCGTTCCTCAAGGCGTACAACGGCCAGTTCGACCGCGCCACCGTGCCGGCGCTGAGGAACATCCAGCGCGCGCTCGACGAGGCCGGGTACGGGAAGCGGATCAAGGCGACGGTGCCGGTGAACGCCGACGTGTACGACTCGCCGGCGAGCAACCCGGTGCCGTCGGCGGGGAGGTTCCGCGACGACGTCGCCGGCACCATGGCCGACATGGTCAGGTTCCTCAACCGCAGCGGCGCGCCGCTCACAGTCAACATCTACCCCTTCCTCAGCCTCTACGGCAACGACGACTTCCCGCTCGACTACGCCTTCTTCGACGGCGGGCCGCCGCCGCGGCCGGTGGTGGACAACGGCATCAACTACACCAACGTGTTCGACGCCAACTTCGACACGCTGGTGTCGGCGCTGAAGAGGATCGGGTTCGGGAGCCTCCCGATCGTGATCGGCGAGGTCGGGTGGCCGACGGACGGCGACAAGCACGCCACCGTGCCGTACGCGCAGCGGTTCTACTCCGGCCTGCTCAAGCGGCTGGCGGCGCGGCGCGGCACGCCGCTCCGGCCGCGCGCGCGCATCGAGGTGTACCTGTTCGGGCTGATGGACGAGGACACCAAGAGCGTGGCGCCGGGCAACTTCGAGCGCCACTGGGGCATCTTCACGTTCGACGGCCGGCCCAAGTTCCCGCTCGACCTCCGCGGCGCCGGGCGGCCGGCGATGCCGGTGCCGGCGAAGGGCGTCAAGTACCTGCCACGGCGGTGGTGCGTGCTGAACCCGAACGTGACGGACGACGACGCCGGCCGGCTCGCCGACAACGTCGGGTACGCGTGCTCGCACTCCGACTGCACGGCGCTCGGCTACGGGTGCAGCTGCGGCGCGCTCGACGCGCGTGGGAACGCGTCGTACGCGTTCAACGTGTACTACCAGGCGCAGGGGCAGGCCGACGCGGCGTGCGACTTCCAGGGGCTCGCCGTCGTCACCGAAGACGACAGGGACGTGGCGCAGGGCGCCTGCAACTTCAGCGTGCAGGTCGCCGCCGCGGCATTGGTGGGCGCCGCCGTTGCCGCCGCCGCGGCGGTGGCGTGCGCGGCGGCCGTGGTGGCCGCGCTCCTTGCGTTGGTCTGAAACTTAATTAGATACGGTGAAAGGTGAAATGTATGCAGAGGCTGTAGATAGGTGAAGCCTATGAAAATTTGTACCACTATACTTTGGTTATTTCTGCTCGTTTATATGAGTAGTGTATTGTTTCTGCTTATAAAGCTAGGGGGCCTCATCGTTTTCCTTAAAAATAATTCAGCCGTTATTAAAATTTAAATTTTAAAACTTAATTTTACAGTTGATAACACATCTATAATTTGGTTTTTAAGTCGTTAATAACACATTTATAAAAGTTTTACTTAAAAATTATTTTTTCTCTAATAAACTATTCTGTTGCCTTATAATCAATCAGCTATTCACTAACCAAGAAGGCTGTAGAAAATTTAGGCATAGTTCTCGATTAAGTATAGGCCACAGTTTTTTCTTTTAAATAAAAGTAAATTTCACAAAATTAAAGATACCTTCACCAAATTGTTACAAGACTGTATATTTAACATAATGTATCACAAAATCATATATTTAACACTAGATTTATCACAGAACTATAGATTTAAGGCGGATAGTACAAAACTATAAATTTAGTAACAAAGTTATCACGAAACGACAAGTTTAATATCAATTCAATCACCAAAATTGAATATTTTTAGAGAAAATTCTTTATATGCCACTCAAAGTTTACGGACTTCCTTATATGCCATTGGAAAGTTGCTATTTCCTTATATGCCATCCAACGAAAATTTCCATCCTTTATATGCCACTATCGAGGTCAAACCGCTTTGACCTTGTCAGTTTTTTAACAAAATGACAAAACTACCCTCGTGTGTTCTTCTGACTGCTTTTATTCACTCATTATCAACGTACACACTTGAGCATAACGATTTTATCTTGCAGTTGATTTGTCAAATTTTGCTAGTCCATCCAAGGATGTCATTATTACCGTCATTAAAATTGTTATAAATATTTAAAAAAATTAAATGATAAGATAGATTAATATTTGATATATCAGTCAAAAATTCAAATTCAAATTTGATCTTCACAAGTTGTAATGAAAATAATAAATTTAATCGAAACTAGTATACGTGTGCTATAACCAAATTTGATTTTTTTAAAAAAAATTGTAAAAGTGAAATTTAAACTTTCATATTTGTGTAGTGATATATTACATATTATTCTTTGTTAGTAAAAAAATTTATAATTATGGGGATGACATGCAAAAAAAAAAAACAAGTGAACAACCCCTCGAGGGATTAAAAGGTAAAAGGGTAATATTGTACTTTTGCATCCCTATTACACAAGATGATGACATGGATGGCATATAGGGAAAGAAAAAGTTCAAGTAGTGGCATATAAAGGAATAGCAACTTTTCGATGGCATATAAGGAAACTTGTGAACTTTCAATGGCAAATAAGAAATTTTCTCATATTTTTAACTCAAACATAATATTAGTGCTAAGGATTTAAGCACTAAAATCTATAGTTCAGTGATAATTTTATTACTAAATCAGTAGTTATGTGATACTTTGCCTTCAACTTGTAGTTTATGATTTTATTGTTCAATTTGTAGTCTTTTGATATATCTCTACTACTTAAAAAAATAAGAGGTGCTTCCATCGTCCGTAAAAAAACGGGACAAAAAAACCAAATCTGTCCGTAAAAAAACCAAGCGGAAAAAAAGGAAAAAAACCAAACCTGTCCAATAAAAAGGGCGAAAAAACAAAAAACCGGGCGAAAAAACCAATTCTATCCGATCCAGAAAAAACCGGGTGAAAAAAAAAACCTAAACCTGTCCGATCCAAAAAAAAAGGCGAAAAAAGGAAAAAAACGAATCCGACTCCGGGTAAAAATAAGGACGAAAAAAATATATAAAAAAAAAGAATCTGTCCGATTCTTTATCTCTAAACGAAAAAAATCCAACTCTAAATCCGATTCCCCCTTAAAAACAAAAAATAAAAGGCACCACTCCTCTAGGCTTGTCCAAGATCCGGGCACCACTCCATACGGTTTTAATCTATACCGTGATATCCCATACATCTTGGTGAAAAAAATTGATGTGCCAGATTGGAGATCTGTTTGCAAAAATGGAACCTACATGTCGAGAGCATTCTATTTTTATATGATTTTAATTTTTGGTATGTAATTTTGCATTTGAGTCCCTGTAATTTTTATATTTACATTTAAGTCCCTATAATCTTGCAATAAGGTACTTGAGGTCGTTTTTTTAAAAAAATAATAAAAGGGAGATAACAAAGGAAGAAAGGTGCATAAAAAGAAAAATAAAAGCCACAAAAAAATAAAGAAAAAAAGAAAAACAACAACAACAACAACAAAAGTCTGTTTCCCCTATGTGGCCAAAAAAAACCATAGATCCGAACAAAAAAAATCCTATTCCTATAAAAGGCAAACAAAAAGTGGTAAAAAAAAGCTAGATCCAATTCCTTTAAAAACGGAAAAAAAAGTCTGATTCCTATAAAGGCGAAAAAAAAATCTGAAAAAAACATCTAAAAAAGTTCGTCCGATTCCCTAAGAAAATGGCAAAAAAATGGTTCGTAAAAAATAAAAAGCTAGTTCGTATGAATTAAAAAGTGCACGTGAGAAAAAAATAAAATGGGTGAAACAAAATCTGATTTCTAATCAGTATATATCTCTTCTCTATCTCTAATGTACTCTAACGCGTGAGAAAATAAAAACAGTTCAAAAAAACGCGTGAGAAAAAAGTCAGAAAAAAGCGCAAAAAAAAAAACACTGTAAAAAGGTTTTACATCTTCCATAAGAAAAATAAAAAAACATGCGAGAAAAGTTATTTCCATCGTCGGTAAATTTTTTTTAAAAAAACATGCGAGGAAAAAATTGCCAGAAAAACATGCCATTTCTAAAAAATGGTTTGAGAAAACCTCGCAAGAAAAAAAACACCGTCTATTAAAAAACAAATCGCTCTGAAAAACTATCAGAAAAACGCTAAATTGATGGGCGCTTGAGTCGGATAGAATCCATCAATTTTTTGCCATCTACTACACGGCTTTTATTTCGTCATACATTCTCCTGTATTGGAAAAAAGCAAAAAAGAACATTCGAAAATAAAAGCAAAAAAAACGCGTGAGAAAATAATTGTCAGAAAAAATAGGCAAAAAACACACGAGAAAAAAAAGCAAAAAAAGAGGGAGAAAAATATGGTTTTCGTCGTCAGTAAAAAAAGCAAAAAAAAAACATGCTAAGAAAAAATATTAGAAAGAAATGTGCCATTTTAAAAAATGGTTTGAGAAAATCGCGAACACTGTTTATAAAAAAAAACAAGCCGCTCATTAAAATACAAATATTGTCATTGAAATCATTATGCATGAAAAATGTATATTATCATTAGAATTTTTTCACCTGTTGCAACGCACGGGCATTTTTGCTAGTCACTTTAAATATATTAAAGTTTTGTGAAATTTACTTTTTAAAAAAGCATTAGGTCACTTTATTGTCAGTCAACTAAATTTCAGGCCCCAAATTTAGCCCATTAAGATTTTGGGCCTAGAGTAGTAAGCAGCTTTGGACCTCATGGGCCAGGCCCAAAATGGAGGCCCACAAGGTCGGCGCGCTTCGCCGCCATCGCCGAGATCATCGCGACGCCGCCGCCGTCGCATACTCCTCCAACGCCGCCGTCACCTCTCGCGTCCGCCGCCGGCGATGGTTGGACTGAGCACCATGCTCGAGGCGAGGGGCACAAGCACCCCCCCCCCTCCGGTCTCGATCGAGAAGAGGAGGCCGCCCTCAAACATCGACGCCGCCGCGAGCTCCACCTCCCTCGTCCCCAGCGCCGGCGAGCAGCGGTGAGGCCCCCTCCCCTTCCTTCCCCGCTTCATGTCCAGGTTTTTCTCGTTACCCGCAGCTCAGGAGGTGAGTGTTGTGGCGTGGTGGTAGAAACGGGTTAGGGTTGTGGCCGTGTTACTGCTACTGCATCCAACTTGGATTAGTGTCATAGCTGCAGAAGAGCCCGGATTTTGATTGTTAAGACATTAGTTATTAGTTATTAGCGATGAGTTGAAGATAATATTGTGGGAGCTCATTGGGTTAGTATAATGGCGCTGAGGAAAATTCTATGGCCTTTTGGGTAGTAAAAAAATGGTTTGCTTTTGTCTTGCGGTTTGAGGTTGAGTTCAGTTAAATTTCCCGCTATTGATTGCCAAATGTTGCTCCGCGTAAACATGCTCTTCTGCTACATTTTGTCTGTGGATGTATAACATTTGACAGGTTCAAATAAGCACCAGAAGCTAGTTTCTTAACTACTCCCTTCGTACCTAAATGTTTGACGCCGTTGACTTTTTTAAATACGTTTGACCGTTCGTCTTATTCAAAGATTTTTGCGAAATATGTAAAACTATATGTATACATAAAAGTATATTTAACAATGAATTAAATGATAGGAAAAGAATTAATAATTACTTAAATTTTTGAATAAGATGAATGGTCAAACATGTTTAAAAAAGTCAACAACGTTAAACATTTAGGGATGGAGGGAGTATGTTGTTGTTGTTCTGTTGTGGTAGGATTGAATAAGATGGTCATTGACCATCTCGACAAGCTCTTTGTCACAAACGCTGCTGCAACAATTGTGAACGAGCTTGAGGTCCAGCACCCTGCTGCTAAGATCCTGGTACTTGCTCAGCAATAGGAGATTGGTGATGGAGCTAACCTCACCATATCTTTTGCTGATGGGGCTGCTTGAGAAGGCTAAGGAGCTTGTCAGGATGGGGTTGCATCCAAGTGTGATCGTCGCGCTGTGTACACCAAGGCCATCAATAAGGTTACTTACCCTCTTGATTGAGCTGGCCTTGTATTGTTAACCCTGTTGCCTGATGGCAGGCTATTTATTCATGCTTATTGAGATCTTGGAAGATCTGGTGGAGAAAGGTTCAGAGAACATGGATGTGAGGAACAAGGAGGAGGTTGTGTTGCGGATAAGATCTACAGTCGCGATCAAGAAATTCAGGCCAGGAGGATATATTGTGCCGTCTTCTAGCTGATGTAAGTTACCATCTTGCATTCTTACGTGAGAGGGACCTTTTTGCGCTCATGGATGAAAACTAGTAGCTGGGTTTTTGTACTACGGTTTTTCAGGCCTGTAAGCAAGTCTGCCCAAAAATCCTGCTAACTTCAAGTCTTCAACGTTGACAATGTTAGAGTTGAGAAGCTACTTCGAGGTGGTTAGGTTTGCATAACTCTTCTGTAGTTCACGGGCTGGTTCTGAAAAATGGCGCTGTTGGGAGCATCGTCAAAAAGGGTGGAGAAGGCAAAGGTGAGAACAAAATGTTACACTTAATTTGTGGTGTGTCTTTGCCAGTCTGTTGATACATTATCTATTCTTGATTTGATGATACTGTTTAGTCAGGGCTGTTCCCACACTGTATAGTAGCATACATTAGGTGGTGATAATTCTATTTTCCTTTGTCGTCCCTTTCATGGATGAAGTATATCATCATCTGAGATCAAATATTTTTGTTCTTATCTTTGTAGCTTTCCACTATGAATCGGGAGTTTCTAGTAACTCAATGATTCATCTTCTTGAAATTTTTATTTGAGATATGATACTCATTTTTCTTTGTTATTGCACTCTGATGGTGTAAATGGTTTTCTTAAGGCTTGCCTTTATTTGGTGGTTAGATTTAGTGGAATATATCTTGTCAATAAGCTTTGAAGGCTTAGAAGGTAGCACTGTAGCAGGGTTCTAAAATTGGTAGCCGGTATTCAATTGTCTCCACCTAGTTATGATCTTATGGCCTAATTGGCACTGTATGATAACACTCTTCTTCTCTTGTTATATGGCATAGTAGTTGTAAACCTGCTTTAGAATACTCATGGTATTTCTTACAATTCCTTCCTTTTGCTGTTGATGTGCTCAATAATCTAACATATGGACTGCCCTTGTCATGGACTATTGAGTACATGATCAAGTAGAGGCTGTACACCTACATTGCAATAAACAGCAACCTTGTGGACCTGTTCTTTTTTAGAGTGATTAAAATATGTAATTCACGTACTTTGGTTACACTATTTTGTGCTTCTGTGAATTTGCTGGATGGTTGCAATACTCCACTTCTACTTTTTGTGAACAAGTCAGTGCTTTGCATCTTTCTTATCTACACTTCAAAATTGGAAATATTGTAAATACTCTACTCAACTGAAACCCTGGAAGTTCTAATATTAAAAGGCATCTCAAAGTTGGGTACTTCATGCTTGATTTGGTTCTGTTTTAGAGGAGTACTTACTTTTCCTTTTATTTTCAGGCTAATATTATTATTAGGAAAATGAATTCAAAATTTAAACTGAGAATGTTTTGTCGTACTACGGGGGCTATTGCACTTGTAAGTTCTGATCTCAAGCTTTTGCTCAATTTCACAGTACTATGTGTATATGCTGATGCCAGTGCTCTTCCAAAAAACAGTTGAAACTGAGCCAGCCAAATGCGGATGAATTAGGATATGCAGACTCTGTTTCGCTGGAAGATATTGGAGGTGTTCGAGTACATTTCATGCCTCTGCTCTTTTTCCAATAGACATGACCTCATTCTTCTTACCATGTTTAGTTCTTTGTGGGTAACTGTTCTCAAGAATGAAGAAGGTCGAAACTCGGTGGCTATTGCTGTCTTAAGAGGCAGCACTGATAGTATACTGGATGATCTCGGAAGAGCTGTTGATGACGGTGTCAACACTTACAAGGTATGTGTGTAAATCAGCTTCCTGTCATTGTTTTGGAACACACCTGCTGTTTTAATGTTTAATTTGCTGAGATATTATCGGACTATTGGTGTTTATACAGTCAATGTGCAGGGATAGTCGGATTATTCCTGGTGCCGCAGCAACAGAAATAGAATTGGCAAAGAGATTGAAGGAATTCTCTCTGAAGGAAACAGGGTAGTATATTTGTTACACCAAATAATTTTCATGCATGGAACATGATGATAAAGGCCCCATTCGAAGTAGATAATAGCTTATAGATTAAAGATTATTCTGATTTTTTATAGCTTTTCGAGGGCACAAATAAATAAAAAAAATATTAAAAAGTTGAAAATGAATTTTTAAATGTATTCTAAGCAATTTTTTCCATGTAAACTTTTTTCCAAAAAATATAACGTTTAGGAGTAGCTAGTAGCTGAAAAGAACAGGGCCAAAAAAGATGTTCCATCTCCAGTCCATTGTCAATAAATATAATAAGCTCTGTTGCTAACATTCTCCTGTTCTATTGGAATGAAACTATATAAAGTCCAGGTATAGCTTAATTGTATATTAAGGTGTCCATACTGTCTTACCCATCCAGATTATTTTTTTAATGTATTCACTTGTTGTTTTTTAAAGTTTTATGCGTTATTATGCCTGACACATTTGATTCATGAGCTTCTGTTTATGTACCTTGGTTTATGATTGTTATGCAATGTCCTTAGTACATACATTTTTCGGTTTTTGCTTCCTATATTGATGGTTAACAGTTATGCAGGTTGGACCACTATGCCATTGCAAAATTTGCTTGAAGTTTTGAAATGGTTCCAAGAACCCAGGCTGAAAATGCTGGGCTTAGTGCTCTGGAGTTAATATCTTCTGTTTATACCGAGCATGCTGGTTGAAACACGAAAGCTGGTATTGATTTGGAAGGTGTTTGCAAGGATGTCTCGATCATGAAAATATGGGACCTCTATGTTACAACTTACAAAGTAAGTCTATGTGTCCATACCTTCTAGTACGGCAGAATAGGTGTACTTACTATGTGGGAAGCACATGCAATGTTTTTCCCTTTGTTACTTTTCATGATATCCATGCGTCTAATTCAATTTTTATATTTCCTTGTCTACTGCCAGGACTTAAGCTTGTTTTAGCCCACCTCTTATCATGTGCCTTCTTTTCACTCATCAGTTTTTGTTCTCTAAAATACTCTGCAGATGCTGCATGTACCGTTCTGCGGGTTGGCCAGGTAAGACCGTAAGAGTGCTATCTTATGTTGTTGGCTGTGTTAAAAACGAAGTAGAAATCATTCTCATATACTCTCTCCATTTTTTTTAATACATGACGATGTTGACTTTTGGCTTGACGTTTGAGAATTTGTCTCATTAAACAAAATTATATAAGTTTTAATTATTTTGTTGTGACATGCTTTCTCATAAAGAAACTTTAAGCGTTACTTCTATTTTTGCATATATGTACTCTTTAAAAGACCCTAATGGTGGTGGTAAGTGGTGAATTTGCCACCACCCACCACCACTGTCATGTGGATCCCCTGAACATGAGGTAAGTGGACTTTTGTCCATTCCCTAACCTCAAGCCATCAAACAGGGAAATTTCCTTTGAAGTGAGGTAAAAATAATGACAAATAATATGATCTAAATATTTTACAATGAGAATAATTTTATTTTAATTTTCGAGGCTTTAAAGTGTATGATAGGGTTCTCTTATTTAATTCCCATCGCAACGCACGGGCATTCAGCTAGTTTACACTATTTTTTTAATAAGATGATGGTTAAATGTAATATAAAAAGTACATGCTAATGTTTTCTCTCATGAATTACGCAGATCATTCATGGCAAAGCCAGCAGGAGGGCCACGGAGAGATGATCAGCCAGGGAGATGAACCAATATAAGTGTGCTGCTGTGCTATATTTTCCATGTTTACTGGTGGTCTGAGGTTTCAACAACGAAGGCCTCTCTTTTATTTTAGGTTTGGTCCAGTAGAAAGATTTTGGTGCCTGGACAGCACATTTTGGTTTTTGGGGGGGGGGGGGGGGGGGGTTGCATGGTTGAGCTGATGTCTTTGCATTGTTCTTGGTGTATCATCAATTCATCATGCCAATGTATTAAAATGGTTATACTACTTCCGTTCTATATTATAGCACCTTTGCTATTAAAATTTGAATAGCAAAGGCAGCTATAATATGGGACAGAGTTAGTAGCTCTTAGAAGGATTTGTTCTTCCATATTTCGATAGAATTGGGCTTATCATCAAAATTGATTTTTTTCCCTAGCTGCTATCTTTTCTTTTTGTTGTTGTTGTTCCGATAGAATTGGGCATGATGCTCACATGGAATGGTTTTTTTTCTCTATATCACCCTATACTGTTGTGCTAAATAGCTAAATAGAGGAATGATTTGTGAAATTATTCAAGGATTAAAAATAAATTAAATATTGTAAAGTTGAAAATGGATTTAAAACAATTTTCTAAGAAATTTGTATAAATAGAAAGTTTTTTCATAAAAATGCTTGATACTCTGGAAACGTATGTTTCATGTATTCCTTGAAAAGAATAGGGCATCGAGTAATTTCCTTGAAAAATGTATCATCGAGTAGTTTTTTAAAAGCCATAAACCATTCTTATACTGTTAAGCCAAAATCTAGATTAGAGTAGTTTTGTCCTTACGTGAAGTAAAGGTAGGACCCCACCATTAAACTTAATGGCTTAAAAACCATCGGCTTATAAAACTTATATGCCAAAATGTCAGGTTAAAATTATAAGCTAACAAACCTAAACCCAAACAAAGAATTTGTCCTTTTGTGGTGTGTGCTTAACATGTGCTATGGGCCATAGAAATAAAAAAGGAACATATTGGACACAAGCTTTTTGTGGTGTGTGCATGGCATGTGCAGTGGTCCATGGGATATATAGATTAATCCCACATCTTCATGCCACTTTCCTACCCATTACTACAATTGTGTATGCCTCCCATTAGTTCTAATCTTTCTTGATGTTACCTTCTCCAATACAAAAGCATTTTTTTCTCAATGATACACTTAAGAAGGAAGTAACAAGGGAATATCATATTAAGGCCCGTTCTTTTATGATGAAGATACAAATTCTACCTCAGTTTCGTTATAAACGATGCATTTTGTGCAAAATTTTTATATATAAAAGTTGCTTTAAATATCAAATAAATCTATTTTTCAAATTTAAAATAATTAAAACTCCATTAATCATGTGCTAAATACTTTCTCGTTTTGGGTGCCTGCACTTAATCTTCATCCGCCATTATGTTTTGATTTTTGAACTATATAGCTTTTGAAGTACAATAGAAAAATCCAATGTGTAACAACAGTTTTGATTGGTTCTAATGGATAGTGATTTTTTTATGCATGATATGATAATAGGAATAGTTATGAGAAGGTATGCCTTATAAAGAAATATATGAAAATGATACGCCAGTATACAACTTCATTATTCATCCTCATATTTTTTTTAAGTAAATAAGGCCATGATCAATGTGGTGCTAGAAAAGAAAGGGGTAAGGGCGCATTCTAACTAGATGATTGATAGATTTCGAACAAAGGAAAAAAAGTCTCGTAGATTAATTAAATATTACAAGTTAGCAAATAACTTTTTAAAAAGTTGTCCACGCAATACTAGAATGAAAAGGTTTTTAGAAATTGTACTTGTGAAAGTGCAGCAAAAATATCGATACCTCCATTAGCCATTTGAACACTCTCTACGACCCACATTTTAGATACGGGAATCGAGGCTAAGCAACACATAGCAACTAGCAAGTAGCTAATGAAATTTGGTTAAAATTGGATAATCATGAGGATTCGATTCTAACTTCTTTAAAATCTTCCTATTGCACGAAGTGTGCCTAGCTTAGTTGGTTATGTTTTTTTGATGAAATCTGTCTATAAGTTGACTTGGCACATTTACGGTTATTTATTATTTTAATACGCCCTCCGTTTCAGAATATAGAGAGTTTTAGAGTTGGACACGGTTATTAAGAAAGTAAGTAGAATTAAATAGGAAGTGTTAACGACAAAATTTGGTAAGCCCGGAGCAATCATCGGCTTAGAGTCAGTATTGACTTCAAAATCCTAGAATCGACCGATGGAAACTATCAATCGCCAACAGTTGTATTCTTGATGGATTCGGGTAAAGATCAATTAAATGAAGCTTATCTAGAAGAGTCCAAGTTCAAGGAGGATGCGACATGGCAGTTTATCTATTAATTAGGTAGGGTTTAGTTTCCTTTTATCTTTAGGAAAGTGTCTTTAGTATCCGATAAGGAGTTTATGTTTTCCCTTTATCTTTAGTAAAGTTTCTTTCTTATCTTACAAGGACTATACTACTCATGGGTATAAATATGTATACCCGGGGTCATTGTAATTTATCTCTCGATCAATACTACTCCGGCGCATCACCACCCTCCTTTCTGAGGTTTTACTTATCAACCGGCGGAATTTGGCACCTGACACGGGGCTGCATCGGTTCAGTTCGATCTTCGACAAAGGGGTAAGTCCTACGTTCCGTCGGCCCTGGTGAATCTATCGGCTACATTGGTGTTGTTCAAGGCTGCATCGCTTCGATCTCTTGGATCGCTCTGGTTTGGTTGATATATTTGCCTACCTGATATCTCAATTATATCTCTTGCATTGTGTTTAGAGGCGCATCGGTTTAGTTGGGATTGTCTTGGTTAGATCCGATCTTCTGTCTTAGCCGATATATCTCTATAATTACAATGTTGTTATAAACAGATTTGTTATATTCATCACATTAGATAGATCTATCGGCTCATCGGTTAGGTCCGACCTACTAGATTGTTGTTGATAATAGAAATCTTGTTAAGCCGATAGGTTGATGCTAATGTTTTATCAGGGTGCTAGCCGATAAGTTAATGCTAGTGTTTTATCGGGGTGCTAGCCGATAAGTTATCTGGACATTGCATCGGCTTACAAAGATTACATACAAATTGGATTTAGCCGATTGCAACAAAGGTTTCACTGTTTATCTAAATTGATTGGATTTTATGACATCGGAATTTTAGCCGATGTATGCTTTAACCATCGAATCAATACTTATCATATCATATTATTATTAGTCGATTGGTTTCTATTGGATTATATTATTGTTGGGGCATTTGCAAATTTGCCACCGTTTTTTTCAATTTTGCAAGGATGCCACTCGAATGCCAGTTCTAGTGGCATTTTTGCAATTTTCTAGTGGCAGTTTTGCAATAACGATTCAAAGCAGTGGTAAAATTGCAATTTCCCCTTTTTATTATCATCAACCGATTGTCTTTATATCATTATCTGCATTGGACATATAGCCGATTGCTCAAAACCCTATCGACATCGGCTGGAATCGGTATCAGCTAATATCGGCTATCGACTAGAATTATTCCATCGGCTTGTCAGCCGATCGACTGTCTTATTTGATGTTTACATGTCTTGTCAGTTGCAGGATCAAACTGACTGGCACGTCCGCATCTCATCAACATCTTGGACCTACACTGGAGCTAAGCAGATCTCCCAGGCCGTATGTTTTTTTGCATCAACAGGAAGGGGTTGTGATTGCTTGAGAAGTGGGGGTAGGTGGGAAAAGTAAATGGTGGAGAAGTTGTTATATTTTGTGACAAATCCTTAGTGCTAAAGTTATTATATTTTGGGACAGAGAGAGTAATAGGTAATCCATTGGTAACATGATGGCTGTAATAACTTTGTCAATCTTAAGATATATCAGTTCAGTCTTTGGAGAATGTGCTCATATAGGTAATGTATGCATGTATGACGTTTTTAGGCAGGGCGGCTAGGGCTTGGGCCCTAGGCTTGCCTTTAAAAACTTGCTTAAATTTTGTTGATTCACCATGTAAATTTTTCAGAAAACTAATACTCCGTTAGTCGAGCCCTACTTTAGCCCTAGTCTTATATAATTTCTGGCTCCACCACTGTTTTTAGGGATGCACACACGTGTCTTTCAGGGTCTGCGACTGTATCGTGTTTCGAAAAAAGAACTTATTTCTATCGATTTATTACTATATAAGAGTTAGAAGTGTCATAGAGTGATTTTAAGCTATTTGACTAGTCACACGTTACGCTACAAACTCTATGTACCGATCACTTTACTTCAAGGCACATTATTCACCACACCTAACATCTCTGGGAGCATTAATCACGTCACCTAGCATCTCTGGAAATAAATCTACGTTAATACAATTTCGAGTAGTTTTGAGGGTCATTTTTGAAAAAACCACACCAATGTGAAATACCCAAATTGCCCATTTTGCCCTAGATATTTCAATCCCCTTCCCCTCTCGCTATTCCCCATTTTCCCTTTCATCTGGCGGCGGCGAGAGGCGGGAACTCCGGGACGAGGGCGCCACCACCAAAATTTCGTTCGAAAACCTCCTCCCCTCCCCCTCCGCCCGCGCCGCCGTCCTCCGGCGAGCGAGCATCCGCCTCCTTCCCGCCGCCGGAGCGAACCCCCTCCTCCGAGGATCCTTCTCCCCCCCTCACACACACCCCCGTCGTCGTCTTCTCGTTTCTCTTGCGCTGGTAAGGGAACTCTCTAGCTTTTGCTTTTGGGGGGTGGGGGTGGGTTTTGGTGTGCGCCGCGACCGAAACCCAAATCGTTCTGTGTTCTTGCCGATATGTGAAATGTTTGTCGCGGATTTCGTTTGATATGTGCAGTTAGTGAGATTGTGCGTGGTGCCTCCTTTACTCGATGTTTTATCCAGTCTGAAATCGAGTTCACTGGTGCAGACCCCCGCCGCTGTCTCGGCCTCTCGATCTGGTCTCCTCCAAATCCTCTGATTGCTTAATCCTCTTCAGTCTCGCGGCAGCAGGCGATTGAACATTGAAGGTCAGTGACTAACTCAGTAGCTTTTGCTTCGTTGCTCATAGTCATAGTTACTGATTTGTTTGCTCATAGTCATAGTAGGCTGCCGATTTGTGGGTTGTAAATGACTGATTTGGATGTGAATTAATCGTTGTTGTTATCTAATGCTTTCAAGCCTAGTCACACCAACACAGTACTGTCGCTAAAAGGAAAAACCCGGCCTGTTTGGTAGTGTTTTCGGAACGCTTTGATGATTTAGGCCATGTGGAGTTACTACCGTTTTATACTGGCGCGTGTTTGGAGAACTTCATGAGACAGATTGCAGCTATCGACTATGTAATACTGCCTTCATTGTGGGGTGTAACTGGACGTGTCAGAAAACATTTTTTTATTGAGAATGGTGTGTATTGTTAATAGGTTTATATGCAGACTATAAGCTCCAATTTGCTCACCTGATGGTTGGTCAGTTTCTGCATTGGTTTTCAATGCTATGTACATTCAACATATACTTTCCTGTTTACACGAAGAGAATTATTTGGTGTATGAATCGTGCGGCCTCCAGATAGAATCATGAACATTCTTGAATGTCTGATCCTGCCATATGATTTATATCTTTTACCTCTACTATTAATAGAGTGGAGCCAGCAATAGAGTCTGCTTATTAATGTTGTATAAGTCATTTCCTTCATTGTTTAATCTGGCTATCCTTATGTGCTTATTTTTTTATTGTTCCTTCAGTTTTAATTGTACATTGTAATATTATTCATAGAATCAACATATCTGTATTACATTGTACCACTGATGGTATGGTAGGGGGATATTTCCAGTTTATGAATTATTTTCTACTCTAAATTTGCAGGGACTAGTGTGTCATGGGTGTAGCTGTACATCTACTTTCAAATAGTATTTGATGTAGAGCATGTGTCAGTGGATACTCATTTCCAGGAAAGATCATTTCATGTGAGGTATTCTGTGGTGTATTGTGCAAGACTATGATGGAGTGCAACCGCGAAGAGGCCTTTAGGGCCAGGGAAATTGCTTTAAGAAAGATGGAAAACAAAGACTTCAATGGTGCCCAAAAGATTGTTCTTAAAGCTCAAAAGCTTTTCCCAGAGCTTGAGAACATATCCCAGCTGTTAAATATCTGTCATGTACATTGTGCAGCAGAAGCAACGGTAAATGGACAGACGGACTGGTATGGAATCCTTCAAGTGGAGGCGACAGCAGATGAGGCTACCATAAGAAAGCAATACCGCAAGCTTGCCTTTTCACTTCATCCTGACAAAAATAGTTTCGCTGGCGCTGAAGCTGCTTTCAAGTTGGTTGCTGAAGCTCATTCACTATTGTGTGATCCAACAAAACGTCCTATTTATGACATCAAAAGGAATAATATTCCCAGAAAGGCTCCAAAGCAAGCTACACGGCCCACAAAGAAAACTCAGGCAAACAAATACAGTGTACCTGTATACTTACATGCATTTTGGACAATGTGCCCACATTGTCAGATGCGATATCAGTACTACAACAATGCCATAAATACTACTGTCTGTTGTATGAACTGCAGAAGGAATTTTTTTGCATACAACCTGCAAGAACAGCCTGTGCCTACACCAAATGTACCTTATAGTTCTCAATTTCCAGCAAACATGTTTCCAAATCAACGGCGTGATCCCATCAGTCGACAGGGCCACCCTGTGAAGCTTTCTTGCACAGGTGGAAACACAGATGTGAGGCCGGGGACATATAGCTGGCCAGGCAGTGATGAGAGAACTATTCAGTCAGAGATGACAAGGGGGAAAGATCAATTTCCAGCAAGGAATCAAGATAAATATTCTGTACCAACAGCAAATGGGAATTCAGGTGGATGTTCAATACCAGTTCCTGATTGTCCAGACACTATTGACAGGCAAAAGTTGGGTAGAGAAGATGCATCTGTTGCACCTGCTATGAATGTGCCTGGTCATTCGAAGCTTCATTCGACAGGTGGAGGCACAAATGCCAAACCACGGGTAAATGTGGCACAATGGAAGGAAACCACAAAAGAGGATAGCAGTGCAAGTGTTGAAAAGAAAGCAAACCAGTCAATGATGAATCAAAGAAAATCTTCTGCCCAAACTGCAAATGAGAATGCCAGTGGAAGATTCAAGCCAGACCATGCTGATCCAAATGTTTTTGACAGAAAGAACTTTGGTACAGAAGATTCATTTCCAGTGCCCAATTCTGCAGTACCCTCCAGTCTCCGGAGATCAGCTAGGAGAAAGCAAGATGCTGGTGACAACGGCAGCATGAACTCCAAGGTCAGAAAGAAGCAAAAGAAGAATAATGTGCTATCTGATGTTGACTTGAATTGCCAGCAAATATTCAACAATAATGGCACTAGTGGTGACAAACAATCTGCTCCACCTCATGTGTCGAGCACAGTAGACATTCAAGATAAAACAAAAGTTACAGATGCAGATAGTAAGACCAAGGCAGAATCTACTGATACTGCTGGTTGGAATGTGCCTTCCTGCTTTGAAAAACTATCATTCCCTGATCCAGATTTCTATGATTTTGAGAAGCTCAGGGATATCAATATGTTCGCAGTTGGTCAGATATGGGCCCTTTATGATGACCTTGATGGCATGCCAAGATTTTATGCTCGAATTAAACATTTTGATGCATCCAACTTCAAAGCTCATCTCACTTGGTTGGAGTACAATGCAGCAAGTGAAGAAGAGAAGAAATGGACTGATGAAGAACTACCTGTTGCTTGTGGTAAGTTTTGCTTAGGGTCAACAGAGGTATCACATGACAGACTCATGTTCTCTCACATTGTTTCATGGACAAAAGGCAAAAAGAGGAATGCCTATGAAGTATATCCTAATAAGGGTGAGGTATGGGCGCTTTATAAGGATTGGAGCATGCAGTGGAATTCAGATGCAGACAGCCATCGGTCTTATGAGTATGAAGTTGTTGAAATCTTGTCAGATTTCTCAGTTAATGATGGTATCACTGTTGTCCCATTAGTCAGGATTAAAGGCTTTGTGAGTTTATTTGCGGCGGCTAAAGACAAATCCACAAATGTGATAGTGTCGAGTGAGTTGCTTCGATTTTCTCACAGTATCCCCTCTTATAGGACAAATGGAAATGAGAAAGTAGGTTCCCCAGCAGGGTTTATAGAACTTGACACTGCTTGTCTCCCCAATGACATGGATATAATATTTCCTTCTGTCCCCCTGGAATCTTACATCTCCCTTGGCAAGAAAGAGGACAGTACGATCATTGATTTGACCAATGATAGTACAAGTAGTAGAATGGATCCTGGAAATGAGAAAAAGGAGAATCTGCCTGAAGCACATATTTGCCGCCCAGTGTCTACAGAAAATCATGAAAGTCTTTCTTATGAGAAAAACACATCCTTGCCCAAAAATGGCCATGATGCCAACGGTTTTGGCAATTCTTCTGAGCCAAGCTGTCCCTCCCCAAGTATTTATTCATATCCTGATTCAGAATTCCATAACTTCGAGGAAGGCCGCACATGTGAGAAGTTTGAACCTGGACAAATTTGGGCTTTATACAGTGATGCTGATAAATTTCCCAAGTTCTATGGTTGGATAAGCAAAGTCGAGCTACAACCATTCAGAGTACATTTGATCTGGCTTGAAGCTTGTCCTGAACAGGAGCAGGAGAAACAGTGGTTGGATCAGGACATACCAGTCTGCTGTGGCAAATTTAAAATTCGGACCTGGAAAGCCCAATATGAGACAACTGATACTTTCTCTCATTTAGTGCACACGGGACAGAGGGACTCAACATGGCAGATTGACATTCTTCCACAAGTAGGCGAAATTTGGTGTATCTACATGAACTGGACATCTGACTGGACTCCTTCCAGCATAGATATGTGCGAGTTCGCCATCGGCGAGATCATTGAGTGCACGGAAGCACTTATAAAAGTTTCTCTGCTGACCCAAGTTAATGGCTACAGAGCGGTGTTTAAGCCTGACAGGCAAAGTGGAGTTCTGGAGATACCTAAAAGAGATCGTTTGAAGTTTTCTCATCAAATACCATCCTTCCGTCTGACAGAAGAAAGAGGTGGCAAGCTCCGTGGCTTCTATGAGCTTGATCCAGCCTCTGTTCCTGACGTTTTCCTCTACAGGGACACCCCATGACTTGCCAACGTCAAAGCAGACTCTTGAAGTAGTAGAACTGAAATCTGGTCTTAATTATAATATATCCTGATATATGCTGCTATCCATTTTCTGTGTACATGTATGCCTGATCTGTTGTTTATTCAGAATCCTGCTACTAACTTTTGAAATTCTATAGCCTATGCTACTTGGCAATTGTCATGTTTTGCGGTTTTGCCCAAGGATAAGACCTGTTCAAAACCATCATAATATATGGGTTGCAACTTGCAAGCAATTAGTATTGCTCTTTCTGAAGTTATATGTGTTTATTGTTTTTCCTAGAGTCATGTGGGTCTTACATAACTTTGGCTCCTGACTACCGTTGAAACTGTGCAGCATTGTCTGCATGACCATTGTATGTACCATCAATGTTTCTACTTTCTGTGACTAATCTGTTCTAAAATTTGGCTGCAATGTATGAATTCTGCTGCTGTACATACATCGCACTGCATATTTACGAGTGATGTTTTCACATGAACTTGGGTACACCTGTGAATATTTTCGGTGCCAACGTTCTAAATGTTCAGCTGATAAAACTAGAAAAGAAGCATTATCTCTTCGCTGGAAGAAGTATGTTAGCCTATGCTGGTGTCTGCTGAGCATTTGCAACTAAGAGTTTTATTGAAATTCCATAGGTATTCTGTTATCCGATGCACTTTCGTCGTACTCAGTTTCGCGTGAGATCAGTGCACGAGCTTTTTCTTCATTTCAAATTTTAAGTGGTGTTCTCTGAGATTGGAGAAATGAAAGGTATAATGCATGGGTTGGCCAAATCCTGATTCGCCCTTTGTATAAATGGTTTTTTTTTTCTACAAGCTACAGTACCCCTAGTAACTATAGCTAAATCATTGTACGTGACGGAATCTCTATGACTATATGATGATAAGTCTATCTCCCCATTTAATAAATTTCGGTCAGCCTCCAGTGAAAATTCCATATTCCTGTAAATTTGAATTTCAGAACACAGCATGACTATAGCACCTTTGTGACCAAGTGCCCAAAGAGGAATCACGTGCCGTAGATTACGACACGTGTTTGCTATTGGGAGGAATGGAGGATAAAGCAAACTGGCTTGGAACAAGAATTTTTTAAACTTTTAATTTTATTTATTAAAATATTTTAAAAATTAATTTATGGTTAAAGTTTTACAAATCTACTACTCCAACGTTCTCTGGGAGGGCGGCAAGGGCCTGCCTATAAATAGCCTGTCTCAATTATTTTGCAACTGGCTTCCTTGTAGCTCTTTGGAAAGGTGACAAGCGGTTGTCTGCAAAATGACTGGCCACCCTTCATGTGACTATTAGAATACGTCAACGGACGTGTGCCACATTATAAAAAAAAAGTCCTTTGGAATGACTTTTAAAAAATACCCTCTCAAAGGGTATTAGGGGTGTAGATTTATAAAACTTTATATATATTTTTGTAAATATTTTAATAAATAAAATTTAAAATTTAAAATATTCCTGGTCTTGCATTATGAGAAAAAAAAGTACTCCCTCTCCCGTCGTTTTTATTTGACACTCCAGTTCAAAGCATTTCTTTTATGGATTTGCTAGAAAGCTGATGACAATATCTTCCTCTCATGAGCAAGGGCTCGTAGGGCTTAGACGTGGTTTCTAGTCGATTTAATACTTAGTCACAATGTAATTACAGTAGAGGTACAATATAATTATACTACAATTATATACATCTTAAAGTTTTTCGTAAACGACTTCTGAAAGATTTAATGTAGTCCTTAACAAATTACTCCCTCTGTCAAAAAATACAAGACAACAAATATTTGTGCAAATAGACAAACATAGTAATCACTTTTTAATGACAATTCTAGTGACGCTCATTTCATTTTACTTAAATAAATCATATAGCTGAATAATTATCATTGGTCATTTATTAAAGAAAACTCAACTTCATCATATATTACAAAAAATTAGTACAAGACTTTTGAATACAAATCTAACAATTTATATTGCAAAATTATATTTTTAACATAGTAAATGTTAGTTAAATTCCTATTATATGAAACAATATAATTTTTCCCATCAAAATACCCTGTTGGACTTTGGAGGGGATTACGAGTTTACCACAACAGTGTTCTTTGAACACTTTCTCAACTTCTACCCATCGTTTTTTGCGCGCACGATTCTAACACTGTTAAACTGTATGTATTTTTTGAAAGTATCACAAAAAATTATTTTAGAAAAACTTATTAATTTATTGTTATTTTTTAATTAATACATTATTAATCATGCTAATGCGACGCTACATTTTACCATGGAACACAGCCTCCTACTTGAAGTTCTGCCCACTAGCCACACTATCCACGCCCTCACTCCTCACAGTGCCACGGGGACCCGCCCCAATCCACCTCGCCGCTGGTGGGTCCCAGGGCTCCGGCCGCCGCCGACGACCTTGTTAGCCCCCTAGCTCAGGTGACTGTTGTTTCTATGCTCTAGATCCCTTTCTCTCTTTCTCTCTCCCGTTATTCCTTTTTATTGGGAATATTGGGGTCGATTCCGTGCAGCTCATGCTGTTCCTGTTTGATTTCCTGGGGTTTTGGGGTAGCAGTTGGAGGTTGCGCGGTAATTAGAAATTTTGTGCAACATTTCTTTTAAATAGGATTTGGTAGAAAATCTAGAAAACGATGGCATGCAAGGTCGCAAGGAGGAACGGATAGGGAGAAAACCCCTCTTTTTTTACCCCCCAAGATTCGTAATGTAGGGAGTTGTTAAGATTATGAGTGCTTAATTGATGGTATCTGTGTGAAAGTACTAGTTTTATTGTAACATTACAAACCACATAGTACATGTGACAGTTTAGGCAATTCTCCGAAATATGAGGTGAATGTTTTGCACAAACTGAGTTCTTGTGCAGGCAATTCCTGTAGACCTCGTATTGCCTTATTTTTTTACGATTTTGTTGGTCCTGCATAGATGCCTCTGCTGGTTAATTGAATTCATTGAACTTTTCAGTCATCGTGAATCTGCTAGTGCGCATTTTGTTTTTTCAGCCTGTGAATTGTTACTTCACAAGCTTTCAATTAAGGGCCCTTTAGGGCATGTTCAACATTTGAGACCACTGCCACATTTTATAGGTACGTGTCAACTAAGCTAGCTCAAAAGACAGCATGGACAGATGACCATAGTATATAACATGGAGTTCAATCTTAGATTATTTTATCCTCTCTACTTTTTCTTAACCTGCACGCTCATGTTGTTGTTTTGTGAAGATACAACTCTATTTTCTCCCCTCCATGTTAGCAACTATTGAACGAGACACTTGCTAAGACAGCACATTGATGACCGCTGTGCATGCCCTTATAGTCTCAATTTACTTATGATGTGCTAATGCCTAATGGAATCATATTTTTATTCTGTCTTTGTATAGTCACCTTGTGAATACCTTCTAGCCAGGTTTCAGTGAATAGTAGCTATTAATTCTTCTGTTTTAATGAAATGAAAAGAATCTTGTGGTACACTTCCCTGTTTTCCATATATTGTAGAATATTGATGAGTAACCAATGCAATAATGGATAGTGTTTACTTGACCTTGATTTTAGCCAATGCATGAAATCTATCTTCTATCTATTATATATTAAAAATCCATTAAACTTTCTACAAACGCTCCTAAGACGCTACGTGACATTCCTACAAACGCTCCTAAACCACCACGTGGCAATCTAATAAATTAGTGGACCCACTGTTTCTAATATTAGATTTATTTTTAGAGGAAAAAAAGGACCCCACAATCTCCTCTCTCCCTCTCTGTTTCCCACCAGTCCAGGCCAGACGTGCGTGTACGTACGCTTCCTCCATCTCACCTTTCTATTGTAGCTAACAAATTTGTTAGGGTAACTAAAAAGTAGTTTAGTACAGAACAAATATTATGAAGAAAAAAATAAAAGTCGAATTATTGATTTTCGGACCTATTATTTTAACCATTAGAAAGATAAGCATAGTTGAAACCAGTGAACCTATTAAGTCTATTTCTAAGAAATTAAGTCTACTATTTTCAACTAAAACCGTTGTCCTCTGTATGACAAATCAAATAAGAACAAAATAATAAAAAGATGACAATATCTATTATGTTATCTTAAATTCACTTTTCATAACAAATATCTATGAAATTACCACGTATCACATTTTCAAGTTAGAAATTTTTTTCAGAAATTTAAAGGAAAAAAATAAATTGATAGATCTACTATTTTTAAGCATTAGATCTTCTCCGGAAATCCGAATCCATCACATCATGTTTTAAATATTAGAAAAGAATTGAAATCTGAGAAAAAAAACCATTGGTTTTCACTTAGATTTTTAGAAAGATTTGAAAAACAGAGTTCCCCGACCTAATATATTTTCTCCACCTGTACATCCCATCAGTCCATCATGGGCACACAGTATTACGAACCCCTTCCAATCTCTCGCTCGAGCTCTACATTATTTCTTCTTTCCCAGTCTCTCCCTCCTCATCTTTAGCTGTCAAACTAAAACCGAAACAACAAATAATTATAGATATTGAAAGATCGTAATTTTATACTACATGTATGATTTCTGATCCAAAATCATAATCCAAATGTTACTCTATTAATATTTAAACCAGCAATTTAAAATACACATGTCTATATTTTTCTATATAAAAGAATAATATGACATTTAGGCACACTCGACCCATGCATTTGGTATGTCATCCAAATAGCAATGGAATACTATAAAAAATTGTCAACACATATTTTGTCATTATACATCAATCTACAAACATGGATATCTATATTAAATCAATATTATCCAAAGAAACATTGTAATTTCATGTTTCAATCAATGTTTTTATTGATGGACAACACCGTTGCCATTTTACATACTATCGGACTTGCCATAAAAACTAAGAAATAATTCAACAACACATGTTGCGCCATTATATATTGTTTTGCAAACATGTATAACTAAACTAGACATTAAAAAATAGTAAAAATATGAATAGTCTAAGACACTACATTAAAAAATAATTTGGATGGTCAAACAAACCGCTGTTCTTTTACATTTTATCCGAATTGCCTAAAAAAATATGAAAAAGAATTATCTCAAATATGAAGATGAAGAGTTGCTATTTTATAAAAATAATATGAAGCCTTGGTTAGAGAAAACGGTCTGATTACTTTGTTTTTTTTTAAAAGGGGCAAATGTTCTTTTATCCGTGCGTGTTTAGAAACCTAACTATGACCCCAATTTTTTCAAGCTCATTTTACTGTGCTTTTCAAAATTAGAGTTACCATCTGACTCTGTTTTCAAGTGAGAAAACTTATAAAAATATGGTTAGATTGGTATTTTGGGCTTATAAAAGTAGGGTAAAATAAGCAATTGTCCTTTTCTTTAAAAAAATAGCATGTTCAAATAATCCAAACAAGCCAAATGATCTTCTATATTCTACATAGTATCTAATCGACTT